CTCTAATCACTGGGGATTGTCGAAAATAATTCAACAATTACTGAAGATTTAAAAAAGAAATTATTCATGTGATATGGTTTTATTCCAGAGAAACAGCTCACTGAATATGTCCTTGTAAAAACTTGACATTGCTCTTGTTGTGAAAACCCATTCTCACTGTGGGATTAATCTGTGTACCCTACACCAGCTCCAGCTGGCTCTGCCAGGCAAACAAGAAGGTTTGAGTGGCCTAAAAAAACTTTTAAGGCTAATATTTCTTTAAAACAGCAATTCAAGAGAAGAAATGATAAATGCTTTGGTAGGTAAAATGTAATTTAGATAAGGATGTGAAAGCAGTGAAAACGGCTCGGTTGGTCTTGTTCTCAAACATGCGAACTATGTGACAGTGATCATTCAGAGAAGGCTACATTAGATACGGCTGGTCTTTCTGCCTTTTCTGTGCTGCATGCCTCTGTCATGATGGAAGCGCCAGATGTATACATGGGAGCTAAGTGCCAGAAGTCAGAATTTTTCAAGGACAATTGTGTCTGTTCACTCAGCATGTGCAGTAGGCTGCACTTTGATGTGTCAGCTTCACATACCTGGTTGACAGGGAGGAAAGATGTGCAACTGGCTACTTGTCAATTGAAATGTGCAAACAGCATGCCACAGCAACGTCAATAGCGGCTCTTTATTTAGTTTTTAAGAGCCAGATTACCAAAGGGTGGATAGGACTGCTGCACCAAGTGTTCTGCAACAATTTAGTGCTATACAATATGATAAAAATGCAAGAAAAAAGATAATGCAGAAAAAAAGTTACCTACAACCAGCAGCCGGTCAGTGAAGACTGGAAACAGCTAAGCAAGCCTGGCTTAGGCCAAAGGTAACAAAATCCACTTACCAGCACCTTTAAATGTAACTAATTAACATTATACAGTATATCTCAATTAATCCATCTGTACAAACTGAAGTATAAATAGCAATTCAACATTTTACAAGTCACTTTACATTTTCTTGGCTGGGACAAGCTTCCGGCTGCAGACTCTAAAAAGTTATTGGTCCAAGAAATAGTCCGCAACATAACCTCCATAAAACGGCAAATTGTTTTTTCATACAACTATTATTCTATGGATTGAAGAAGATAAGATAAGTTATAGTGGTTCTGGTAGGTGGATTTTGTCCACATCACCACCCCCTGTTGGCTGTGTATTACCGATCCGACACTGATATGGCCCAATTGTGACGGTGCACTGTCACTATTTATTTATTTATTTATTTCAAGCAAAATAGTGTGACAACAGAAAAGATACACAATAATAATAACTTATACACTTATGCTTGAAATGGAGTGGGAAGAAGTAAAACTTATTAAACCCCACCCCAGTCTATCAAAGAATTTATACATAAAAAAAATAGCTGCTTCCTTCATCAATAATCTCAAAGAAAAAATATTAATAATTAAAAAATAAATAAATAAATAAATAATAATAATAATAATACCTCATTTAGAAACAGTGGATGCACAAGTCAAAACCACACATTCATACCATACATACTAATAATATACAAATATTTCCACAGGTAACAATGCTTATCAAATACCAACAATGGTAGACGAAATACCACAAGGGTACATAACAATGATTATCAAATACCAACAATGGTAGATAGAATACCACAAGAGTACATAATGACGAACAACTACCAACAATGGTAGACGGAATACCACAAGGGTAAATAAATGACAACTAATCCAACAATCTACACAACTTGAATACAATCAAACCTCATTGTCATTGTAATGGGACCAGACCTTTCGTTTGTAAAGACGTTTGAAATTGTGAATGCCTTGACACTGCTTTAATTCAAGCCCCAGATTATTCCACAAAGTAACCCCACAAACAGACATAGAATAACTCCTCCTGGTGGAACTCGCCATTGGTACCGCAAAGTTTCCAAATCCTCTCAAACTGTACGACTGCTCCTTATGAGAAAACATATTTTGAATGTTCACAGGTAATAAATAGTGATACGCTTTGAACATGAACTGTGCATTATAAAATTTTACAAGATCCTGCATTTTTAATAGCTTTGATTTGAGAAAGAGAGGATTTGTGTGTTCAAAATAGGCGGCCTTGTGTATAATTCATATAGCTCTTTTCTGTAGCAAAAAAGTGACTGTATTACATTTTTGTAATTATTGCCCCATACCTCTACACAGTAGGTTAGATATGGCTGTATTAAAGCACAATACAGGGTATGGAGTGCATTAAAATCAAGGATATGCTTAACTCTACTTATTATGGCAAGGCTTTTGGAGACTTTTGTTGTTATATGTCTGATGTGGGCATTCCAACTTAGCTTGTTGTCTATCGTTACACCTACAAATTTTATTTCCTGAACATTTTCAATGTGTACTCCGTCTATCTCAACCAGTTTCTGCGAATCAGCTTGATACTTTCCAAAAACATCACTTTGGATTTATCTAGGTTTAAGGATAATTTGTTACTTTCCATCCATTTTTTAAATTTACTTAGTTCTTTGTTTATAACGCTAATCAGTCGCTCCAAACTATCGTTACTATAGAAAATATTTGTATCATCAGCGTACAATACACATTAACCAATTGAGAAACATTGAAAATATCATCAATATATAAATTAAATAATTTGGGGCCCAATACTGACCCCTGCGGGACACCACAAGCAATGTCAATACATCCAGAAGAGAGCTCACCCATTTGGACAAACTGTACTCTGTCGCTCAAATAACTTTTCACCCATTTCCCAGCAACCCCCCGTATTCCATATCGTTCTAATTTCTTAAGTAATATATCATGATTAATGGTATCAAAAGCTTTTTTAAGATCTATAAAAATTCCTATTGCATGTTTTTTGTTTGTTAGAGCCTTCGATATTTCTTTTGTGGCGTCAATTATGGCCATCGAAGTTGATCTGTTGGGTCTGAACCCATATTGTCCTTCATTAATTAGCTTATGCTTATCTGTAAAAATTTCTAACCGTTTGTCAAAAACCTTTTCAAGGATTTTTGAAAACTGGGTAAGGAGAGAAATGGGTCTGTAATTAGTAAAGTGATTCCTATTTCCATTTTTGAACAATGGCATGACTTTAGCAATTTTCATTTTTCTTGGCACACAGCCGTTTTTAAGCGACAGGTTACAGATATGTGTTAGAGGCTTTATGATACTTTTAATTGTCTTTTTTATTAGTACCATATCGATGGAGTGACAGTCTGTAGATAACTTGTTTTTGGATTTTTTAACAATATTCATTATTTCACACTCACTGACAGGAGAGAGGAAAACAGAACAGTCATTTCTTTCAGTGTTCAACTTCAATTCTTGGTTAGGAATTTTAGCTGCTAAGTCAGGACCAACTATGGTTAAGAATGTGATTCGACTGCCATACCAACGAGCCTGGCTCTTTGGTGTTGTGGTCAACTTGCATGTTTAGTACCCTGTAGACCTGTGTTCGAAGCCAGGCAGGGTGACTGCTTAAGCCCTTTGTGACACCGATACTGACTCAAAGAGCTGGATCTGGTATTGTGACAAAGGACCCAATCAAGGGCTGATGTTGACCCAAACATTTGGCTGGGGGAGCTAACATAGCATTATTGGACTCTTTAGCAAGCAAGCCATAAAAAGAAGCAACAAGTAGGCGTATGTATGGTGTGAGCTAAAAGTTAAAAGGATGCAGGACAGATGCTGGGCTGGCCTTCTTACTGTTGGACTATAATAATAATAATAATAATCTTTATTTATAAAGCACTTTTCAAAAACAAGTTACAAAGTGCTGTAGCAAGTGCAAAGACAATAAAATCCATAAAAACAAATACATGATAAAAGCAAGAAAACACTTAAGAGACTAAAATACATGTTTAAAATAAATATAAAATAGAATAAAATTAAGTCAAATAAAATCAGGAAAGGCTCTCCTATAAAAGTATGTTTTAAGAAGAGTCACTGACTAAGCGGACCTGATTTCCTCGGGCAGGCTGTTCCAGAGCCTCGGGGCCCTGACTGCGAACGCTTTGTCCCCTTTAGTTTTCACTTGGACTAGTAAGTAATAACTTATTAGGCGGCTTGCTATGTCTTGTATTGTTGTGCAAATGCTTGTGTCAGCAGACTCGAGCAAAATCAGGTTTCACAGACAAAGGTTTAGCCGCTAGCTATAAATCTTGAGTTGATTTTAGCAAACTTACTAGATTACACACTCCAACATTGGTAACATTACTGTAAGTGCTCTTGCGTCTAGCTTTGTTAACTAGCTTGTCATCCAAGTTTAAGCAACATTATGCTGCTGCTGGAGGAGAGCGAGTGGGCAACATAACTGGGCTCAGCTGCCACTATGGACGTAACTTTATCTAAAGGCAGAGGCGAAGACACCCAAGAGGACGTTGACAGAAGAGTCTAAGAAGAGAAAAAGAGAGAGACATGAACTTTGTGAAATAAAAAGCTGCTAGACAGACGCTGAGCTGGCATTCTTTCTGCATGCACACAGTTGGACTTGTGTTGTCACACTTGTTGATGTTTGGCTGTGTTAGCAAAGTTGGTGACTTACTAGTTTTTTTATTATAATGTAATCATAACAAATGAATGTGTACAGATATCCTTATTTATGACAGCGGTGAATTTCACTGCGGCAAAGGAAAGCTGCGAAATCACACCAAATCCTACATAGTGATGCCTTACGTGTAAATAAATGATTCCTAGTCTCTTCCTCACAGTGAGGAATGCAGCTTATTAATTGTACACCGGTACTGGATCGGTAATTGACATTGGACGATAACCAAAGCCCAGGCATTGCTATCAGGACTGAAAAAGTCAGATTGGTTCATCCCTACTGTGGATACATATTTACCAAATAGACATAGGAGTGATATCAATCTTCTCATCTAACTCTCGGAAAAAATAGCAGTTCATCCCAAAAATTAAGGAAAAAAACATAAGTGAGTCACATAAATCAAACAAAACTGCATCTCAAACTACTTGTTCCCTTGATTGCTGCTTCCACTGACAACAAGAAGTGTGTGTTAACAGTACAAATGTACAAATCTGTACAACACCACCACTCCAGTGTGGCTTTATCTTTCTCACGCTATAAACAAGAATCAGGAGGTAATGGACATTTCCACCTAAAAGTGCAGAGCTACAGAGGCAACACTATCTATGCAAATGCATTATGTGCTTGTTTTGTGAGGAGCTATGGCAAAATGAACTGCAGAATTGCTCAAAAAAGAGGGAGTACAGTGGTATATGCAGAAGATCTTTTACCTATTAAATGCTTCTGCATATGTGCATTCATCTTATCCTTTGCGGAGCTCTCGGTGACTCGTACTGGTGGAAATGGAGTACTGAAACTGAACTTCTCAGCAGAGGACACCTGCTGACTAAAGATAAATCATACACACATCGGAAGAAGCCTAGCTGCCATAAGGCACTCTAAGCCAGTTAAAAATGTAAAGTTTCTCTGACAAGCAGACAAATACAAGGCAGGCAGGAGTCGAGAGCATCAAAGGTAAGCATGAAGACGATAGCTCCTCTCTTCGAGGGTACGACACAGGGCACGTTAAAGCTCGTGTGAAAGGCAGTGCAATGTTTTTCAATGCGAGCAAATTTCCTGTTTTCTTTATCATGTTCATGCTTCTCCCACTTCCCTTTTTCATGGACAGTGAAGGAGATGTTGCCATTGGTGTTTCCTTGCTCCTCTGTAGTTTTGTCTCTGATCAGTCACATGACAGGAACAGGAAAAGAAGAACCTTGCGCAAACAAATAAAGGGTTTTTCAGAGCAGAGCCTCAGTTTGGCTGAAAGGATGCGATGCGGAAGTCCTTCAAAAATACACTGGTTTTCACAGATGTAGTAATTGTAAATAGGTACTTGTGCTGTTCCCTCGTAATTAAATTAAAACGCCTTAGAAGCCTTTTGAATTTTTCTATATATGCAGCTGTGACATCCCTTCAGGGAAGTGATTTAAATAAAATCACATGGGGTCGAACACACTTGAATGATACAGCAAATGTATTAACTGGAATTTAATTGCACATTAGGCTTTTAGGGACAAAGAGCAACATGTTTGTGACAGTACAGCTTCAGTTATTTCAGTGACACAGTATCTGGCAAAGGGCTATGGCTGGGGAACTCTGAAATAGCCCTGTATGTCCGGCAAAGGGCAGGAGGCCATGCAGGCCATGGACCAGACCTGCTGTTTTGATGTGGAGTCAGCCAGCCTCAGGCTATAACATATTCTCTCTCTCTCTCTCTCTCTCTCTCTCTCTCTTTCTCTCTCTCTCTCTGAAAGGAATAAAGTCCACTTCCTCTGTCATCTGGACACAAGGCCGGGCTGAAGTCAGGAGACGGACTGACTGGCAGACCAGCTTTGATTTCATTGTTACTTAGGAGGAGGAGGATGACATCCACTATGTCCCTGTTCTCTCCACTATTGGGGTTAGTTAGGCCTTTCCAACATCCTGCCAGAGGAGGGTTGCGAAATTAAGGATGCAGCGACAAGCCATCTGGGCCAACTTCCTATGTTCAAAACCTCTGTCCCTGACTAAATCTTCCTGTACCTGCCTCACAGGCACACCGGACAACTCAAGGGCTTCCTCTGTGGCGATCCATTTTTTGCATGTCATCATTTTTATCATTGAGAAATGGTTTCCCCTGCTGAGAAGGGAACCAAGCATATTGTGGTAAATCCTTTGTCCTGGCAATGTCCTTTCTGTTGGGAAATATCTCTTGGAGTACAAGCAAGTGCCAAAGATTAACACAGTCCTAGCCTGCTGTGATGGCTTGCACGCTCCTAAAACTCATGCTGCGACTGCTTGGAGGCCAAACTTAAGGAGTTCCATTACCGCGCTTGTTACCTACTTTCTGGAGATTCAGGCCATAAACAAGATGCAGCTTAAGAAAACTGTAGAAAACAATGGCAATGTAGGGAGAGCCTGGTCAACAACTATGGTGCTGAACACCTAAAGGGAGGGAAACATTTCCTCAGGCCTTGCCAGTGGACTAATTCCCATGAACCTCATGCGACCTCCAGTGACAAGGCAAGAGGTATGAGTGACCAATAAAATGATACATGACTTTCCATATCACAACCCTATACACACGCAGCTGGCTGAGACTGAGTAGCGGTTTGAACGTAAAAGCGATGGTGGCTCTCATTGACCCGATAAGTGCTCTAAATTATGCTGTTTCTAAGCAACGCAAGCCCTTTGGAGTGTTGTAATATTTGTCTGCCACTGTGTCCCAGGATCCAGTTTCTGGCTTCAGAACATGTGTACAGTGATTAACCAATAAAGCCAATGGATGCCACAAAGTAATTTCCCTCCAGTATCTGTCAACACAATAAATGTGTTTTCACTGGCTGTCACAGGAGCCCATCCTAACCTTGTATTAGCATTTAAAGAGAATTTGTAAAGACAACACCAAGGTAAGTATTTGTAGATATGAATTCAAAACCCCATTATTACTCTGGACTCCCTAATTTGTTGATAGACCCATCTCCATGTCAAATGATCTCCAACTCCTACTAGCTTGCAAAGAGTTTGGCTGAACAGAAAAATGTGTAGCAGTCCTCGTGATAACTTTTTTGGCCTCAGTTAACAACAGCAGTGTCTTATAATTAATTTCATCTTCTAGGTAAAAGCACTTATATGTACAATTGTGCACGCTCTTACCCGTTCATAGATGGGTTAATTCACTAACTGAGATATAGTTCAAGCAATGAGTGAAGCATCAGTTACTGCCTGTGTGAACATGATAAAAAGGACACTGAGAGAGAAAGGAAATCGATAGGTTAAATCTCCTCCACATGGTAATTATTCTGAGGGTGGCAAAATGTTTTTAGAGTGCTAAGAAAAATGTACATTGTTGGGGCAGAACGGGAACCTGCTGTGGCTGACATTTTATTTGCACAGTAGGGACACTGAAAATGACCACGAAGGAGTGATTCTGAATAGACATTCTGAAGGCTGTGTCCGACAATTTCTGTAACTGACAAGCCAGCAATCACTTCACGCCATGTATCATGTAGGCAGCTGTGTAGAGGTGAGTAAGGACCCAGGGTTTTAATTTCTCACGAATGCTCTCTTTTTTCAGTCTTAACACAACTTTCTGAAAGTGAAAATGTGTACTTTTGTCCTCGTATTTAAATAAAATCACATCACCCCTCTCTCTGTGATGGCCAGCTTTTCAACCAGCCTTCGAGTGTGTTTGCATGAAACCACCTCTGTTCAAGCATAACCCGGACCTATGGGTCTACAGTTGTACTATCAGCTTTGTGAGGCTTTCCTTAGGCACAGCAGCCATTTTAGCTAAATCAGAATGATAAGATGCTCACAATGACAATGCTAACATGCTGGTGTGAAGCCAGTACAAAGTTTACCATGTTCAGCATCTTAGTTTTGCATGCTAGCATGCTAACATTTGCTTATTAGCACTAAACACAAAGTCCAACCAAGGATGACATGGATGTCATTAAAGTTTTGCAAGTATTTAGTCACAAAAATGTTGATCTGATTATGGGGCTAGATGAAATGTTAATAGACCACCTGCGATATTACTGTCCATCTTGAGAGGAAAATAAATGTCTGTACCAATTCCATGGCAATCCATCCAATAGTTAGTTAGACATTGAACTCAAAACCACAAATGTAAACCTTAACCTAGATCTAAAGCCAGAGGATCATCAAAGTGATTAGGATTCACCATGCACCATGGATATCTGTACCAGATTTTACGGCAATCGAGCAGCTGCCAAAAAATCAGTCTCATGGTGGTGCTAGAAGAAAAGGTTTTGGAAACCAAAGATTTAACCCCTGTAGGCAATCTATTCAATAGTGTTTGTGGTATTTCAGTCTGGACCAAAGTGGTGGACTGACCAACAGACCAACACTGGCATAGATCTGGGCACAGAAAACATGGAGGGGTCAGAAATATGAAAACAAAAATACCACAGATGGTTTTCATTAACTATCTAACACAAACTTAGACACATATTTGGCTTTTGCTGCAGACTCCTGGTGTTGAAAGAGCTTATCTCTCAGCTCTAGTCATATTTGGGGTGTTGGTGCTTTACCATGATGAGAAAGTGAGTGACCAGACATCCAAATGCCCAAGGGGCCCCACTACTCAAGTACAAGTGATAAGTGAGGCACCGGTCTCCCTATTTATTTGGACTTTATGGACTTTACTGCAGAGAGCTTCCCACATAGAGCAGTGGCAGCAGCATTCCTCTCTCATCTGAGCTGCTCTCCAGCTGATAGAACAAGGTATACAAGGACAGACAGCAAGGGTCCGCTCCTCGGAGTCCTGAGGTTGAATCCTGAGATCAGCACTGAGAATAGGGGGATATTGTTGGCTAAAACAACTCGACCTCTATAAGTGGACGACTAGAATAATACCCAGAGTTCTGAGAGTCAGATTTCTGGGATGATCTGATCAAGCGGAGGTATGCGTACAGAAAACACTCTGCTAAAAGCAACATCAATACTATGCACCCAAGACACAGAATAAGCCAGAGATCATTTGGCTGTAGAGCTCAGCTTTAGAAAAAAACTGCATTAACATGTGGCTTATTTGAAGGGGAGAGTTTTCAATAGCCAATTATGCTACAACAAAAACAAGGAAATTAAGAGGAGATGAATCTATCATAGATTCACAATTCATTTGAATGGCAACATTTATCAGCGAAGTAGCACCAAGATGCCTTTTTTTAAATTAGACAGAATTTCTGTGGCTGTGTAATAAATGTTTTGGAACCGCCATAATTCAAACCAGAGATAGAGCATAGCAGGAAGATGGTAGAAAATGGCTCGGGGTGAAATCATGAAGCTCCATAAATGCAGCTGCTGAGTAAATCATCCCCTCCCCCACCCCTCCTAAGATGACAATGACTTCTGGGCTGGCAGGTCGACAATCTCCCTCAACCCTCCCCTCAGATCATAATAATGGTAAGCCAGAGCTTTCATCATGCTTGCATCAGACTCTGACTCTAAAGCGTCTTTTTAATTTCACACATTTGTATTTTGTTGAAAGAAATTTTGAGGGTTAAGAGGGTTAAGAAAACCCTTCAGACTAAAGACAAATCTGAGAATTTCACAGTCTATTTATATTTACCATGTGTTCTTACATCTGGACACTAAGATTTGAGGGCCAGGGCATCTCTGTAGCGCTACAGCACTTCATTATAATGCTGTTATGTCACACATTTTACCTTCATCATAAAAATGTATTTCAATGAATTGTACAGTCCTAATTCAAAACATGACTTCACCTCAATAATGTGGCGCTCAATCTCATACCCTATACTGCAGGCTGTAATTGAAAAATCTGCGCCTGATACTAAGCTAGGGGTTCTTACTGCCTCCAGGATAGTTCTGAGATATCCTGCATATACTTTATGTTTTCAGCATCAGCTGAGAGAAATGGGGGTCCTGTACTGTTGAACTAACAGGGCTGCAAATAAGTCTTTCAACAGATACCACTCATACGCTAACAGGCACATCAGGTTTGTGGGATGACAGAAATGTCATACAGAGATTTACAATTCCAAGGTACACATTGTGGATTAATGGAAAACTCTTTTTTACGAGTTTTCTCTTGAATACAGCAAAGGTTTAGATAAAGTCTCAAAAAAACATACAGCCAGGTGAAAAGAGGAGAGCGACCTCAACCTTAGCAAACACAGTTTGTTACACATGATAAAATGTATCATTACTTAGAGACGATAATTTAGTTTACTGTTATTGAGAGTCACTGTTTATCTGTTCCTCCACCAATCAGCACAGCTCAGTGATAGATATGGAAGGAGCAAGAGCCATCCCTCCAGCCCGGAGTTATGATTCGGGTAGCCATATGGCGACTGCCCCTCACAAAAGTATTCCCTGTTCTTTATGAACAGCTGTTCAACAGCAATCAAGTGATGAACAGCTCAAATGAACACATTCAGTCACTGGGCAAAACTGCAAACAGATACCCCATACTCCCAGATTACACAATCAATCAGAGGGCCCTGTTTCAAGAATCTGATTTATAATAGCGCACTGACAATGTGCTTAAGATTTATTGATCTCTAGCCTTAGCTTTACTTGTTTTCTAGACACACAAGAGAATAAAAAGCACATATGGAAGCAGATCACACTGAAAATGACCCCACATGTCTTGAGACAAGTTGATTTGTACTAAACGCATCCAGCCTTTTCTCACTATTCATGCCCTTTACAAAAATAAGACATGAGAAGACCACTCTGAGAGATAACAAGGGCTCTGCGCTCCCCACCCCCTGCACATGTCAATCCAGTCTAGATCAGTCTGCTTTCCTCTTACTCTGCCACGAAATGTGACCTACATACATGTATGCTGAAGTAAAGTCACTTAAACTCAACATGAGAACCTGAGTTTAGCATCCTCAACTAACAGCTGCATCTTTATTAAACACAACATTAGCATGCCTCCCCCTAGTGCCTATCTGCATGTAGACTTTGAGACCCCGCTGGGTTCTTTATTGATTCAGTCCCATATTGAGGGGCAAGGAGGCTTTCAATCATGTATGAGTGCTAAAAGTTGCGCATGTGTACTGTAGCTGCAAAAAGAAGAGATTCAAAGCCAGCAAACGTCTAAGAGTTTGATCACAATTAATAAAACAGAAAGTAGGCTAGGTGTTAAAGAGAAAAACTTAAGTTCTGGGTACAGCTACCTGGCTTCAGTGTGAGACCGCAGCTTAACGTGAATAAAACTTTGAGCGTCGAGAAATAAAAAAAAACTTCAATCAACCTTGAATCAATTATTTACTGAAAGTCAGTGTAAACACTCAGCTCGACCTTTCCCTCCGCAAAAAGTTGCGCGCTCCAAACTTTCGCACTCGCTGTGGAAGTCTCCTCACCTGAGGCATACGCTATTCCAATCCAAGTCCGACAGAAAAACGTAAAGTCTGTCTTCATCTCCAGATCTCCGGTCCAGAAGTGCAGTAAGCTTGAGCGATGTTTCTGATAAAAAACGCGGTAGTTGTAATGCTGGTGGAGGCAGTGGAGAGGTGGTTTGAATCTACGTCCGTGGATGTAGGTGGGGGGACTCAGGTGAACCTCGGCCAATCGATGCCTGTCTGTACTCTGCACAGAGAGGACAGAGCCGAAATGCTGAGTAAAAGGAAGACCAAAAAAACGTATTTTTTCCCCAACGTTTTGTCAAAAGGATGCACCAGGCACTGAATGGGATTTACAATGATTTCCCTTTCCTTTGCTCGTGACCGGAGCGCATGCACACCCACCCACCCAGTTCATAAAACAAGCTGAATTGGAGGGGTGTGCGCCTGTGTGTTGGTGGGTGTGGGGTACGTGTAGGGGGGTCTCCTCAACACCCATGACAAATTTCCTTCCTGCAAGATCCCATTCGTTTCATCCTCTGCGTTAAAGACCTATATTATTATTGTATGGCATGAAAACGTGCTTATAGCACAACAAGGCAGCACAAGAAGAACACTTTAAACTTAATATTGAGGTAATTGAGAATGCTGCATTGCTTTAGTGCACCAAGAAATCAGAATTTCTTATAAAGCCACCACAGGAATACAGCTGCATTGCCAAGGAAGGGAACAAATACCATAAGAAGATAAGTGCAAAGACACACAGCCTCTGGAGGAATATTACAAGAATATTACATGATATTTTACTCCTTTGCTCAGCTGCCTTTAAACCATAAAATAATATATCTAGTCTCTAACTCTTCTGGCACCGTGTCAGTTACATTTTTATCTCTTCGGGACACATGTCTGCCATTACTTGAGGTAGAAAAGTTATCTTTTGTGCTTATGAGCACAAATTCTTCTAGACATTCAACAAACTAACGCTGAGCAGAGGTGTCTTGGGAGTAGCTCAATATTATGAGTCAGTAATTGCTCTTCCAAAGGGTCAGATGAAATGATGCCTCCAATGAAACTAAACTGCACAGAGTTCCTCCAGCCTTGTCCAAGTCTGTTAACCCCCTCCGCCCACACATCCATCCTTCTCAGGGAGTCCTCAGAGTGTCAATGAAAATCATGTACTAAGAGCACAACATGCCCATTGAGCTGCTATAGCCGTTTTATTTTTACAGGGAGGGATTTTGAAAATTGAAAACCCATGTACCATATGCCCTGAGAATTAAAAAGTCGCAGGTTACAAGAGCTTGAGCTTGTGTGTCGAGCACGCTCACACACACACACACACACACACACACACACACACACACACTCATAGATAAGATTTTCTGGCTCAGTTGTGTGTTTCATTCATTTATGGCCTGATGTAGAGGTAGCTTCGACAGTCAAACCTCTTACTCAGTCACAGATGAAACAGCGTGCCCATTTGAGCCAGTATAATCAATCCCAGACAGGTCTGCTTTACAGCACCATGAGTGTGCTGCAAAATCAATAGTAGGCTATGCTGAATCTCCACTTTAAAAATCCACCACAGCAATAATAACCCTAGCTGACCCAGACTCCTCACAAACTCAGTCTACCCATCAAACAACAGATGGCGATGAGATGTATGAGAAAAACATTTTTCCTCAATATGATTATGTTATTTTGAAGAACCAGGCACCAGGAGTGTGTGGAATAACAGGGAGTCAAAGGGTCTTCGTGTGTTATTGTGGGCATGCGTTTCCCCCCAGATCCCTTGCGGCATTCCACCTCTCTGACCTTAAAACACAATGTTGTGATTGAATGGTTGTAATTAAAATGTTCCCCTGGTTTCGGCCCACAGCACCCTCAGCTTCAGAGGAAAATAAACACACTAAATCGTGTCCATAGTGTAACAAAGCTTCATCCAGGGAGTTACCAAATCTCATTACCAACATAAAACAGATAATGTCATAAACGCATGAAAACACTTGAGTGGCCAATAAAATAATAAACTGCGCACATAAGCATTCAGACAAGCCATTCAGACAACAGTGATAACAAACAATAGCCCTGGTGCAGGATAGGATGATCGCCCCTGCTGTGTCAATCAATCAATCAACTTTATTTTAGACGCATAGGTCCATATCAGTAAAATAAAATAAAATAAATATAAAGACACAATACAAGATACCCAGTACAAAATATGTACAAGCTCATATCATAACACATTCCACCATAATTAAAACACATGTAGACATTTGTTCCAATGTTTCCAAAAACACAAGGAATACCAGATGTTAGATGAAAAAATTCCAGTTTATAATCCTGCTGGCTCCTGAGAGACAACCGAGGACTCAAGGACCCGTCCTTGAAGTGCCAGCACTCCATCCGGCCCATCCTCAGGTCAGGAAACACATTAGGCCTACAGATCCACAGCTACTACCATAGGAAGGATGTGGAGCACGCATGCAAGCCGCTGACTCCCACACTGAAGTTCAGGCCGATGGACTCGTCGCTTCACTGCACTTTGCCAAGCTCCTTTTTAGCGGCCTCAAGAGGTGTTTAAGTTGTTGTTGTTGCTTTGATTTAGGGAAGCCAAAACTTCTCATCAGTAGGTCATGTTCACTATCAGTCAGCGGTTATAGAAAAAGCTTCCCGCTACGGTAGCAGCGCTACCACATAGCCTACTTACATATATGCAAATTATTTACTAACTAATTAGCCATGAAGCTAACGCACTGAGTGGAATGCTGCTGGACAACATAACTGCCCCTATGGTGCTGAATGATGCTCGCAGCTCAAAGCAAATGGTTCCTGACGTTTGGGTCTTTTATTTTAACGAGAACTTTTCACCTTTTGAACAAATGTTTGGCCACTTGGGGGCAGCAAAACACGCAGTAAACACACAGTAAACGCAACACAATTGACAGCAAAGAGTTGCTTATTAAAACATATTGCAGAAACATTAGCATTTGTTTAGAGGCGTGTTTCTGTCCACCAGATAGATGTAAGTGCAATATTTATTCTCCTTTGATCTACAGTCTATATATTAAAAGTTCAGAAAATCTAAACAATTAATTAAAAGACGTTGTAGGGCTGAGGGGAACTGCAGAGCCAGGTGACAATTCTCTCTGTTTGTGGAGTAGCTACCTGTTATTAAAAAATATTGATTTGTGCAAGCTTTAACTTTATGCCTCTCAGGCTACTTTTTTAAATTTACAAAAATAAAATTGTAATATATTGTTGTATATCACCTTTCCAGAAAGGACATAGGGTCCAAAAAGAGCCTCATAAATAGAGGCTCACTTTCATTATCTCTGCATAGTCAATATAAAGAGGCTCTCTGAGGAGATTGAGGTTATTTCAATCAGCATTCGGAGGTCATACTGAGAGACTACTGTGTTATATCTATGTGTCGTAAACGCACCCATTCCATGTAGTTGCTTTGCAGGAAAAGCATGGGTCTCCCCTGGCCACGGTTCTTTGTGCCACTTTCCCAGTCAATAGTGGCGGCAGCGGCATCCTGCTTTTGCATGCCCCTGAGGCCCGTCAAGCAGCCCAGAGGCATCCCCACTGTCCCCTCTGTTTATCTGACCCTTCACCTGGCAGGAGGAAACAGGACATCACTGCTCTTGTGTGTTTTTAAAGATAACTGAGCCCGCCTATTTCTGTTCAAGTGTCAGAGATGCCTCGTGTGTTCATAAGCAGTGCGTTCTGCTTTGATGATGCTTAATAACATCCTTGATTATTTCAAGTGCGGCCATGGAAGTGCACGGTGTCACAGCTGCAGATAATGATCAAAGACCATGTTTATTTAAGAAAGAGAAAAAGTGATTTGGTTTATTGTTTGCATCAGCAGGTTTTACAATGAACTCTCTCTCAAAAATGTAACTGACATTGCCAATGATAACAATGTAAAATAGGCTACATAGACTGAATCCCACAGAACTACATTTTAGTAATTTCCCACAAAATTAACAATGAGTGTGCAATGTATCACATATATGTCAAATTAAGACACATGTATATAAATTAATGTACAAATAATGATAAATCAGTAGGAGCAGCTAGAAATCCGCTAAAGAGCTCCTAACATGCTGTGAAGTTACATGTGGGTGTTAATCATCAGAAAATGCATCTAAAATAAAAAAAAGGCAACAGTGTCATTTCAGACAAATAAAACATGAAGATCCATTTAATCAAATATAAAACCTCACAGTAAACTGTGCAAGCAAGGCTAAAGATAGTCTGACTTGATGAGAGGTAATTATTCCTATTATCATTTGAAAGGTCAACTATCTCCATCTCTTTAAGATATTTGGTTGAACAGTGAAGCACCAGTACGCCTTAAAATGTATTTGATGCATCGAAACCTCACTATATTTGACCCAAAATGGTTGAACATTTGTGTATTCTGTTGACTGTTCCTGTAAAATGAATAACAACAAAATTGTGGTGAATATGGGAATTTGTACAACACAAGGCTTTTAAGGTTCATTTCAGACTCAGATATCAGAAGCATCTGGTGATATGCGATCATTAATGCATGGAAAACAAGAGAGCAGTCTGAAACTTTAAGCTCTTGTGATTCAGGACTATAATGCTAACAATAGTTACTTTCCTTTAACAGCTGAGTAATAACAGTTATTATTCAATAAGCTCTTAAATACTGAAAAGCTTTTATTGGTTGCACCCATGTTAGCCACACAGAGCGACAGGTGGGTAGTGGAGGAGTTTAATAGGCTGAGGTTTCTGACTGCTGTCACTAATGCACGGGCTGAAGAAGGGGAATACCTTGCCCCTCGGCCCGTTGGTGAACGAGTAGAGCAGACTCATATCATCGGTTGTAGAAGGACACCCTCCTCTCCTCACAGTCCAAGAACACCCCGAACCTCTGAGGGGAAGAACCGAGGTGCAGCCTGGTCCAGGGCTGCGTGCCGGCGGAGTACTCGTTCCCATTACGCAGCCGCAGCGTCCAGTAGCCGCTTTCGGGGCTCAGCTTGATCCGAGTGCGCCGGCCTACGGCCTCAGAGGCCACGCCCAGGTCCCACTTGGGTTTGGAGCCCACTTCTACCTCCCAGTAGTGTCGGCCTGTCTGGAAGCCCTGGGCGGCCAGAATGTTGACACACTGGAGGAAACGCTTGTTGTGGTCCGTATGTGGGATCATGACGTCACACTCAACTGCCACGGTTTTGTCACGGGAGACCTGGATGCTTGGGTGCGCTGTGTCAACATCAAACGTTAATGGGGAAGGACCTTTGGGGTGAAACAATTCATTAAATGACAGCAGTGATAATATTTTCTCTGATGAAATTCAACAGTGTCACATTTTTAACTGAAAATCTATCGTAACAGTGGAACAATGGCATCATTACTGTCATTCTGTTGCCACTCCAACATTTTTATATGATACTATAATACTCTAATGAAGCACATCAGAGGGGAAATTACCTGGCCTCAAAGATTTGAACATCCTTCTCCATGTGATGTACTGTAACGGGGCCATGTATTTGTTGCTGAAAGCGTTTATGTCAAACTCCGGGGCAATATCCACCTGCACACACGGTCTGTCAAAATGAATCAAATATACATTTAGTCATTTATTCTCCACATAAACAACACTAAATGGAGGCAGAGATCAAATAAGCACATGACAGCTGCAAAAATGCCAAAAGCACTCAATCAGTCATAACACTGAAATGAAAACTTACCTTAGCTGTGGGAGCTGGAGGGAAGGAAATGAAAGCAAAATCACATTAACGACTGTTGTTTCGAACTGAAAATCCACAACTCAAATTAGATGCCAGTCAGGATTGTTTTTAAAGCTGATCAACATATTTACAGCTTGAGGCATCAAACATTTCAGACAAACTTTTGATACTCATTTAAAACTTTCTGTCTAAGCTGATACCTCACCTCAGCCAGTACGCCGTTCTCAGCGGCAGCACTAGCCTGCCGTAGTGCTCTCGTATTTTCCTCAAGCTCCCTCACAGCCACCTCAGTGGCCTCCAGGTGGCGCTGGACTTTCTCCAGCTCTTCCTCCTGCTCTCTCATCAGCTGCTCCAGCACGCAGGCCTCCTCCTCGTGCAGGATCTGATGTAGAACTCTGAATTCTCCTTTGACGCAAGCCTGCAGATCTGCCACGACTTTCTGTGACATGGAAAAATGACAGGCAGAGGATACGTAGCATCTTGCTTTCGACTACATCCACACTAATACGTTTCCACTTAAAAACGCACAACTTTTGCCACATTAACGCCTAACATACAACCTACTCTGGCAGTTTTTTAACCCTTTAACAGAAACTTTTGCAAACACTCCTGACACTGTTTTAGTTTAGTTTTTAGACAGAGATTTTTTATCATGTGACCCTTTGTTTGAAGACAACAAATGGCATCAGCCTGCACTACTGCCAGTTAATTCAACACAGATAATAAATTATAAGTGCTGGCTGACCTTGGTGTCTATGCTAGCAGCTGTTGTTTTATTAAAAATAAATAAATAAAATAATATCAAGCCAAACATTAAAGCTGGGTCTACATAACTTTTGTGATTTCATCCTTTTGTTGTGTGTGGGTACTCCTTTTCCATTACTAATGCTTCCTCTGGTGATAGATAATGCTCCCGGTACCACTCTAATATGTAGCTGTATTTGCTTTCCTACTTCCAATCTATTCTTCCCTCAGAGCTGACCACCTTATACTCATGTGTTACTTTTAGTAACAGTTCCAACTTGTTGTTGATCCAAGCTAAGAAATCTCCGGTCTCACTTTTCGCCTTTGCTATTCTCTGTTCAAATTATTTTCTGAAAATAAGCAACCAACTGCAGAGTACACAATCTGCTTCCTGTTTGCATGCCCAATGTACATGAATGGCCATGTGATATGCGTTTTCAGGCGTGTCAGCACGGACAGAGATCATTTCAAATTAGTGCTAAAACGCTGGGGTGTACGAGAACGTTTTCATTTTAAAACACAATTTTAAAATTGAAAACGTAATATTGTAGACGTTGCCTTTGTATTACCACATTAAAGTTAGCCATGTATAACTTCTGCAAAAGTACACATCTCTAGAGAGACAAACAAGGGGTTAATGAAGATACGCTTAGCATCAAAGATGTATAAGTTAAACAACTACAGGCTGTTTAAGCAGGGAAGGATTTCCTGTTCGTCATTTCAGCACGCATGACTAAACTCAATCTCTTATCATCTGTCTATACACACATTATAAGGGATTTTGTCATCCTTCTGCCTGTTGGTGTATTGCACTCTTGCCCATAGTTTAAGCAACTTAAAGCAAAAGTAGAAGTGTGTGGTTTGATGCACCGGGTCGTAATGCTGAAGTAAAAATGGCAGAATCATTGTCATATAAGAATATGACTGTATAAGAGAACGGATTTCCGATGTATGGTTGGAACACAGTTAAGTCAAAGGTTAGAAGGTTTTAATGCACCGAAGCATAAGACCATTATGTTTTACATATCAAAGCACAAACGGTCACTTACCATCAGCAAACACCACTAAATACGCACAGCAAAATATTGCAGCCATTAGGGAGACACATGTGCATTCTTATCTGCTAAGTGCTGTCATCCTACGAGTTCCCATTGAGTGTACCTTTATGGTATCCATCTTGTCTTTGTCTCTGCGAACATCGTTGATGAAGTCCTCCTTCTTCTGGCGATGGCTCTCCAAAGTCCCTTTCAGTTGTTTCTGTACAGCAACATGCAAATCAAATCAACAGCACACAGAGAGACTATGAGGAGGATAAGGACCTCTAAAACAACTGTAGACGTGCCTAACTGAGTGAGTGACAAGAAAAACAGCCCTGCAACAAATACTACTACCTAAATATTTAGTTTAGGTAGAAAATGACTTGTGTGTGTGTTGCACCAACTCTGTGGTATGTTCTGAGGATGTACTTGTGTTGTTGTTGTATTAAACCACCATTTTATTGAAAGATGTTTCTATTTCGTATACCTTATTGACATATATGGAGGAGCAAAATATCAGAAACGCCCTATTAAATACAACTGAGTGCTACAACAGCCTTAAAAAGCATTTCCTTATTTAAAGAAGTACCCCATTTTGTAAACAATATGTAACATGTTAATTAGTGCGCTTTAGAGGTGCTGGTAGATTTGATTAGCTCTGGACAGATCCAGGCTAGCCGTTTTCCCCTGCTTCCAGTCTTTATGCTAAGCTAAGCTAGGCTGCTGCTGGTTTTAGCCTATATTTACTGGAGACAGTGGCACCGATCTTCTCATCCAACTCTCTGTGAGCTAGGGAATAAACCTATTTCCAAAAACATTAAAATATTCATTTAGAAACATCCAGAAAGTTGAATAAACACCGCCTGACACAGTATTAAAAACAATTAAGCAAGAGTTACAAAAGGTAGGATTTATTATAGGAATTCTGGATTGAATAATGTTAAAATTTGCAGGAGGTTTTATTATTCTGGCAGTGTATATTGGTTCACCTGCTGTGGCGAAGTAATTTATCCTGTCATACAAAGCAATATAATGATACTGGACAGTAAACTTTGCCCTGCGGAATTCAAGTGAGATATGTTTAACTACAGTGAAATAAACACAGATGTGGATTGAAACATAGAATACAATTGTATTCAACTTGTTTAACTCAAAGGTTACAGAACGCTCACTTTAATCGATCTGTTTACTTTGTGACCATAAGGTTATTTGTTTAAGATTGCCAAACCCTTAACACTTTCCAGATAACTACGAGCAGCCAGCAGGGCCATGGTGAAACACGCAGTGGAGGCGTGAACTCACCTCTAGGTTCTTGATGTAGGAGTCCGAGGTGGTGGCTCTGACCTTCTCCACCATGGCTGCCACAAGGTAGTTAGTTTGAAACTGCTTGGTGTTGAATTCCTTGCGGCATTGTGGGCAGCTTACAGGGCCCTGAGTTCCTCTCCAGTATCTGGAGATGCAGGGTTTGCAGAAGTGGTGCATACAGGCCAACATGACAGGCTCCCGAAAAAGGTCACAGCATATGGCACATGTCAGGTCCTCTTTCAGGCTGCCTTTGGTAGATGCAGCAGCAGCAGCAGCAGCAGCCATGGCGATGGGTAGTTTCCCTTTCCCAAGCCTGTTCACATTGAGGAAGTGAAAGCAGAAGCCTGGAGGTAGAGAGGGACAGGGAGGGATGAAACAACAGACTTGTTTGATGAGTCAGCTGAAATAAAATAAAACTTAACATTGTACTGCAACAACTTCCTATCTTAACCCCACTGTATTACGTTATTCATTTTCTAGGTTAACTCAGCAGATTGTGTTGCGCCTCTCCGCTCTGAAGTCCAACCCTCATAACAAATCGGTGCAAAATAACTCTCCACTTGCTCTTAAGAACATACTAAACAGCTTCTTCAAGCGTAAACGACAGGCAGTTCAAGTGCAAATGTTAATCAGGAGACCACGGGACTCTATAAGCTAGCTTGAGACAAAAGCAGCGTTTGGTCAGATGTTTTGTTTGCTTGTGCAGTGCCTGAAGCCTGCCAGCTCCTTTTAGCTACGTATTACTATGCGTAGCCTAAAAAACAGTCCGTTTAAGCAACATAAATCAAAACTATTTTAAAACTTTGCCATTTTAACTATAGCAAAACTTTTAGTGAACATTTTAATGCACCTACGTTGTCTGTTGTTCGGAGAAATATGTGCGGCCAAGTACTTCAAAGTCCCTCCATCTGCTCTCTCTGAGCCCTCGGCTGCTGTTTGGGAACAAGGCGTACGCGCGTACTGCGCATGTGCCAACTACAAACGCGCCTTTGATTGGTCCATATGTCTCAAAGCAAACAGCAGGGCGTCAATTAATGCAGTCAGTAACTGTTTGTATTCTTCTACTCATTTTCTGTTTCACTATGCAAAGCAGATGCCCTGAATTTTACTGTGAACAAAAGCCATATTTCCGCACTATTGCAAAAACAAGGATATTTTGGGTTATAGCCACCACAAAAAGTCAATATTTTCTGATTTTGATTGTGTGAATTTTATGGTTTAACTTTTCTAAAACCTTCTTAACAATATGTTGTAAGGATATAATACCGGTGGAGAAATGCTAAATCACTTAATTATAAAATGATTTAAAGGACCAGTAGTTTGTCTTGTAGGCCTAATTAGTATTGCACTTCCTTTCTTGTGGGAATAGATTTTTTTTAAAAGGTCAAAATCAAAGCAGCTGAGATATCCTGAATATCTGAGGTGTCCAAACTCTGATGAAATCATCAGGGTAATGTTTTTCAGACTGTATAGACATCATATGGAACAATTCTGACTGTGTTTATATGGATATGTATATATGTGTGTGTGTGTGTGTGTGTGTGTGTGTGTGTGTGTGTGTGTGTGTGTGTGTGTGTGTGTGTGTGTGTTGGCCTTGTCTTAGAATAAAAGAGTACACCAGGAATCGGAGCATCCCACACAAATGTTTGCCCTAGGAATCCAATTTACAGATGTCACAGACTGTTCACCCTTTTAAATCAATATTTTGAATCACTGATAAATTATCTGGATTAGGCAACAGTCTCCACCTGTCAAGTTTAACCTATGTAAGAAATACCAAGAGCAAAGGGAAAAATCAGGAGGCACGAATGGGATTTTGTTTATCCTTCACTCCCACATTCATTCATTCAAACACACACACACAGAAACACAGAGAGAGAGAGAGAGAGAGAGACAGAGAGACAGAGAGACACAGAGAGAGAGAGGAATAACAACCCTTGCAGTGTGTTCACTGCCTTTTGTGGCTGCGATGTGATGCCACAGTCTCTCCTCCTGTCATTAGACCAGTGGCATCAGTACTCTCAGAGGAGCTGGACAGAAACAGCAATCAGATGGAGAGCAGGGGGGCATGAATATAGGAGTCCTACAGAGTTCACTAATCAGGTACAGGTACATTTTCTTCACGGCCCTTACTATAAAAGTCCACACCACTTTTCAGTACCTGTTGGAGATCAGCATGGTTGTGGTGAAGACAGAACTTTATCAGTAATGCATGCAAGGCAGGAGAGGACTGTCAACCTTGACTGCCAAGTGACCCAGTGCATTCAGAGGCCGGGGGACCGCTCTAATAATTGAAAGAATAAATGAGACGGAGAGGCAGCCTGTCCCGATCAATAAGGGTAATCTCTGTTGCGGAGTCAATCAATGCACCAATTATTGCATCATCAAATGCAATCCCACCAAGAGGATTCAAGGATCTCATACTGTTGCTCCCTGAACGATAAATCTGAGCTGAGTCGGTGAGAGACAGCTTTTTACTGCTCCAGGGAAATACAGAAAACGTGGCTCAAGGGAGACATGATCTCAACGTGGCTAAATATCCTTTGTTTATGTAATTTCAAGTGACAGCATGTTCCGGGTCTAAAGTATCTGATGGCATTCCTACTACATTCTCTGTGCAATAATTAGCCTAACAATCTACAGATCTTATAAGGTGAGCCAACGAGTCATGGGGGCTGCAAATGCATGTACATCGTTCATTCATTATGAAGTTGTTTATTTTAAGTCATTGTTTTATTGTTTTAAAATCATCCTAACACACTCAGAATACTAAAACATTTATTGAAATTCCCAACCAAATCATATTCAAATGTACTACTACCATTCCATGATAATATTGAATATGAATAATTCTTATGGTATGGCACCCAAAACTGCCCGTGGGTGTATTTAAACTAAAAATAACAATCCATTTGCCAAGAACTTTAATCTAGTTAGGAAGTCATTGCAGCTCACAGAAATGAGCTTGTGGGACATTTGTCTGTATTGTCCTCCAAGGGAACAACTAAATCTAACAGCTGTTTCATGCAGTTAACCAACCATGCCTTGTTGCACAACAATATGATATTGTGTCACAGTTTAGTTTTAATGCTGTTCATCTGATTGCTTAAATTAGATCAGTCCTGATAGTGACGTGGAGCCTCAAATAAAGCAATAAGACTAAATGACTTTTTGCTTTACAATCTTATATTGTTCCAAAGTCCATTGGATTTGTACACATGGACAAGAGGGAAGAATAGCAGGCTTTAAGGTGGAAAGCCTGCATGAAAAAAGTGAATAATCAATGGAGATTTAAAAAAATGTCATAAACTCAGTGACGTAACTCTGCGTTGGCACTTTAAAGGACATTCTGTCTTTTTTAAATACATTTCTTTACAGTGTAGCGCAGTGGAGATGAAGCAACGTAGATGGCACACTTTAAAAGGTGCTCTACAAAGCGCAGCTCGTGCGCAGAACTCCGCTGTCGGTCCCTGGCACTGATGTGGACGCTCACACTGAATCCTGTAGACCTGCCTCAGGAACGCACAGTCGAGCCACAAGATGCGCACTAGGCGCTACAGCTTGGGAGGAGCTTCGGGATTTTCCCCCCTTGTTATACGCCACTCTCGAGAGAAGACTCGTTTGCAAAAGGAGATATAGGGGGAAAGGTGAGTCCATTAATGTCTGGATAGCGTTCATTTAGACTTTAAATGAATATTGCGAGGCTACTTTGGTGACAAAAATGTATCCCCGAAGTGAAAGCTGTTAAATGCTCTCTTATTTTATTACAGCGAACTTGTAGTTATTGAAACTATTATATGTGCGTAATTTGGATGTGCGAGGAACATTTAAAAAGGAACATGAGCAAGTGTCCAAATTACGTATCACGGGAGACTGTTTGTGTTGGAGGCAAAACGATTTGCACCTGTCTAATCGATTGAATAAGCTTTGAGAGCTCACTTGGAGATATTTAAATGCGACCTATTCAGTGAGTTAAACCAATTGCGACAAATTACGCACGAACGAAGCACAACTGCACATTTGACTGGAAATTAGCTATCTCATAATTTGGAGCCACTACGCAGAATTCACTAGAATCCGGTTATATTGTGGCTTTTTGCACCAGCAGGTGTGTGGTAGCATTTCAAGTCAAGGATTATCATCGCTTATCAGGATGCACTGACAAATTAGTGGTGCAAAGTAAAGTGCACATGTCGCCTGCAGTGTGCCTGATGAATCCCTAATGCATGCCAGGAGCTGGTCTGGTGATGGAGGATTCAGGCTGGCTGTACATGCTTTTTGGTTTATTGACAGTGCAGTACTATAGATGTAATGACCATAAATTGCATGTGGTCCCTATAGTTTCAGTTCAATCCTGCAAGTACTTTCATGATTCATGACGTGTGTTTGTGTTCCATACTTTCTTCTTCTATATGCCTCACCCCTGACATTTTATATTGTTTACTTAAATCTGCATGAACCCAAAGGCTGCCTGAATGGTTTTTATTCACACCAGCATCACACACACTTGTTGTCTAGACCATTTGCTGTTGAAGACAATTGCAGAGAGGACAATGTGATTAATGTAGCATATAGATAAATAGTAGACAGTAAAGTGACACAATAATGCAGCAAAATAACACTGACTCCATATTTTCCACAATAAAACATTTACTCAGGAATAACATAACGAAAATGCAAAGATGTCAGTAAACTATAGTCTGTGCTTTGGTCTGTCAAATAGGCTACAAGATCCCCAGAGCAACCAGAGCAACCAGAGTGTTTGTCACCAAAGAGATGACCTCTCACTAAATGGTGTCCCATTTGTCTCAGTAATTCCATAAAGGAAACTAGGATTTGAGTCTTAGCCACACAAATGTGCAAAATCAATTCAGGCCTGTAAGTACACAAAAACTACTAAAGTATCCAGTTTTTAACACTTCAAAATGAAATCCTTTAAAAATCAGAGTATTGTGGGTTTGGTGAAAGCCTCTGGCTGAGTCTAATGGTCACTTAATGTAATTAGCATGGATCTGCTTAATGAGGATGCAGAGACTTAGCACTTATTTAAGAGTCAAAGATTGACAGTAGTTTTTATACATGCCATGACAAAATGTTCTTTCTGCATTCAGCAGGAGCTCTCAGCCTCTTACAGGTAAATTGGTAGAAATAGCAAGATAATGAACTACAGACAGCGTACTAAAAAGAGAAGATTTTTAAAACTGAAATACAGATGTACAACATGGTCTGCACTGATCCTATTGGCAGAAATTAGGCATACCACACTATTCCCTTTATGAGATGCAGACTGTGTATGAATGCAGACTGTGTATGAATGCAGTCTGCGGCTCTAATGATGTGGCTTTGAACTGGCTGACTCCTGCCGATCACATTGCTTCCTCCATCATTTCCTTTAGCCTTTATAATGGGACAGGTGTTGTGTCCCTTGGAAAAACTGCAGGCTTTTACCAAACAAAGACTTATGTTCAAGGATATGTTCAATAGCTGTAGGAAGCAACATGGTCTGGTATTTTTGGGAGCATTTGGAACAAGGTAATTTTCTATTGATTATCATCTGGTACTGAAATGTGGGTTTCATCTTCTTAGCTTTTCAGAACATCCACTTTCTCAATGCAATTTTGGGAAATTCTAATAATTGGGCTCCATGCATCTTCTAAATTGCACTATTTCATTTATGTCAAGTTAAATACTAAATGGCTTTAATAACAGTGTGACAATTAAAATGCAATGGAAACTACCCTTTCCAGGTGATTTAAAGAGAATAATGAAATAGTTGAGTATCAGTTCTGTTGTCAGATTTAATTAGAAGCTGGATTTAGCCAAAGCTCTCGCAGAGCATTCTTTGTCGAGAAGGCAGAAGACTCTGAGAATAAATTACATTTTCAAGTACACTATTAATAATGTCTATCTAAACACGCGGGGGAAGGAAGGAATGTCAAACGTTAATTTCTTTGAATGACATGAGGTATGTATACAGCATTTTGAGAGAGAGAGAATGCACCAGCAGGTCAAAATACTAACCCACCGCCAAAGACACCCAGGATTCAATTCTCAGCAGCGTTACCTCTGACTTAGGCAGGCCTTCAAGAGAAGACAAGTGGCAGTCTTTGGTGGGTGAAGGATCACGTTCTTGTCCCTGCATCAGAACTCATATTGGGTGTTTGGGACACCTCTATAGAGGGGGATATGTAAGGAGGCACACAGTACACCCTCCTGGTGAAGACAAGTGACACCATGTACCACAGTGGAGTTGGCAGTGACAGGAAATGCAGATCAGGGGTGTTGGGAATTCTAAATTGGAGAGACAAGTGGGAAATAAATGAATAAAACACCTCAAGCTCAAGTATATTTGAATCCAATTCTGCCTGGCTAGCATCAGAAAAGAATTTTATTTTGTGTGTTTTCTCTCCTCAGGTGGAGGCACAGCCGTTATCTGGCATCTTCCGATAAAATGAGCCCACCAGACACCTCCAACAGCACAAGCGAAGAGGAGGCTGGTGAAACTGATCCCTGGATTCTACTTAACGACAGCATGGGTTTATACCCACCGGGTTTCCACACTGACATCACCAAGCACCTTGGAGTCCAAATCACACTGATCACAGCTTATTCCCTAATCATTCTACTGGGGCTGCTGGGGAATGCTCTTGTCATCTACATGATTATTCGCTACAGAAACATGAGAACAGTGACCAACTTCTTCATAGCCAACCTGGCCCTGGCAGACCTCCTGGTAAACGCTCTCTGTTTGCCCTTCACTCTGGTTTACACTCTGCTGGATGAGTGGAAGTTTGGGTCTGTGTTGTGCCACATGGTGCCTTTCGCCCAGGCCCTGAGTGTGCATGTATCCATCCTGACCCTGACTGTCATCGCTCTGGAGCGTTACCGCTGCATCGTCTTCCACCTTGGTCGGCGCCTCACATGGCACTCCAGCTTCCTCATCATGGCATTCACCTGGACTATGTCTGCTGTCCTGGCAGCACCCCTGGCCATCTTCAGAGAGTACCGCCATGAAGAGATCCCTTCCATCAACCTGCGTATGGCTGTCTGCTCTGAGAAGTGGCCCCACGGGACTAGCAGGGACGGAGTCATCTACAGCCTCTCAATGCTGCTCCTACAGTACATAATTCCTTTAGCCATCATCAGCTATGCTTACATCTGCATCTGGGTCAAACTGAAGAATCATATCAGCCCGTCCAGCCGTAATGATAGCATCAACCGCCGCAAAAAGACCACCAAGATGTTGGCGCTGGTGGTGGTGGTGTTTGCTACCTGCTGGCTGCCGTTCCATGTGTTTCAACTGGCCAGTGATCTGGACCTGGTGCTCAGGTTTAAGGAGTACAAACTGATATATACAGTGTTTCACATCATAGCTATGTGTTCAACTTTTACCAACCCTCTCCTGTATGGGTGGATGAATAAAAACTACAGGAATGGCTTCCTCATGGTCTTCCGTTGTGAGGATAAGCCAGATTCCTTCCACCCTGAGGGCTCGTTCAGGACACGCTCCATAAGAGGGCTGACTCTGAATGGCCGTAATGGCGGACACCCTCCGACTGCTGTATGAGAGTAACACAGTATAAAAAGCCTGAACACACCTCTGGTTTGTGGTGCTTGTGGTTCAAAAGTAGCCTTTTGACTTGAATGCTCTGAGCTTGAGTATCTATGTCACTGAAGAGAGCTTTGCATGCGTATTGCTTTATGTAAAGCTCTGCTTTCCTTTGTGAATGATACTAGTGAAAATACGTTTGTCAAACCTATTCAAATATGTGTTTAAATTGTTTACTAGGGTGTTAATGAACTCGTTACAATGTATTATGTGTTTCCTGTAAATGCAGAACTTTTGTTGGTAAGTAATGTCCAATTAATTGTGCCCTACATCGCCTATCTGAAGCTATTTATGTGTTCATACTAACTGGAGGGAAGATGGTGATTATTGTGACTGTGAAGGAAGATGAATTTTTCACACTTGTTTTGAGATTTGCTCGCTGTTGGGATGATTTTCACTTAATTAGTCCAAATGCTGTGTTTTGGATTAATTCCAATATTCTCACAGAATAACATTCGATTTTCGTCCAAGGAGTCCAGAGGAGGAGATTTTCTGTCCAACCAGGAAGTTAAGAGTGTTCACCTGGCAACCAGCTGTTCCTGATTAGATGGACCTTTAAAAGCAGTGGCATCTTTTACAAAATGTATCGAACGCTGACACCATATGTAAACAACTCTAAATCTTTGGGAGTAGTAGGCCGTGCCAGGACAGGAAAGATAAATTTCACTCCCTGAACCTGACTGCTGGAAAATCCATCTATAGATCGGAGGACAGTCTACATAGAGGCACAAGAGCACTACATATTTTGTTTTTAAAAGAATAGTAATGAAACCCCCTGAACTGTGTGAAGTAAGAGCAAGAAGTTCTGAATATCTTTATCACAGAATGTGGGCAGCTCCTTTGAGGATATGTAGAAAACCCCCAAAAGGAATTTGGAAGAAGTCAAAACATACAATTCTACACTCAACTCCTAAAGTGTCCTTTGTTAGTGGTCTTTTATGAACACAGGAAAATTAATCAACCATAAGGCCTCTGGGAACACATTTTGAGTCCCCAATGTATACAACTGCCAGAGGTGATTTGACCAACAGGAGAAATGATATGTTGTGCATCCTAAACGTCAAATAAACAGACCTTTGCTTGGATAAGGCCTGCATAAATGGACTGAAGTAAGGTAAAATGTCTGTCAGATTTTGTTTGGGTGCACAGTAAAACTGAAAGTAATGGCATTTTACAAAATGTATTGAACACTGACTCCATATGTAGACTTCTCAAAACCTTTGGGGATAGTAGTCTGTGCCATGATGCATGTACCCTCCATACTTTGAGTATTAGAGGAAAGCTAAACTTTAACTCTCTGCCTGACAGCTGTAAAAACCCATCTATAGATGGGAAGACAGTCTACATAGAGGGAAAAGAGAAGCAAAGAATTTTTATGTTTCTATAAAATTGAGGTTAATCAAAGTTCTACACATAAATTAAGACTCCGTTTTGAAAAACAAAAAATAGCCAGTGGGTCCAAATAACATCCAATAAAGCATTTAATGAACATGTGGCCTACGCAGTGTGATTCATTTTACAGCAGAGGAAATGTGTATTGCATTTGTATTACTGGTTCTTGACACCCACATTACTGATTTCATGGCTAAGCCTGTATTCCTTTATGTGCTGTAGATTATTATAGAAACTCTAAGCCTTTCTCAGGACTACCAGCAGACAGACACTGAGTTTAGACCCATGGCATTAGACTCGCTGGCATTAGAGCTAATGTGTGAACATTTCGTTGCAGACTTGAAATGTTTTCAAGGAGGATTTTAGTATGCGGAATGGATTATCCATCAGTCCTCCACTATAGTCTGCTAAAGGGGATCTCCAAAAAAGTAGCAAGACAAGGTCAGATTAACCATGATAGGTTTTCTGCACGGTGCACTTTTCAAGGCTCCTTGCAGATGCCACTTTCAGATGTTTTTCACAATATTACACGACATTAGACCCAGAAAAAATACTGTGTTGCGTTTTTTGCACAGTAACTTGCTGCCCTCTAGTGTTCAAAGTGCACATCGCATTTGCACCCGCTACCGGATATGTCGTGAGTGGTTGCCCTTTCCTCCAGTGAGAGTCACGTTTGACATGACTTGTAGGTGGCTGCACGGCGATGTTCATCCCGACAGGAGTCTAAAATGCAAATACTTATCTTTTGAATGTTGTCGCCATACAGGTAACCGTCTTTGCCTTTCAAATTAACTCCACAATCTGCGTATTGAATGTCGGTTCAAAGAGATTTCCGGGCCATGCGGTGCCTGTCATTCATGGGTTTTGCTTCATGCTAGGCTAACTAATGCTAACGAGTAAGCTAAGGAGTGCGGACGTGACAAACGTGCTGCTGTTAGATAGCCGTATCAAATATGTGTCAGTCTCATAATGTTAGATACTTTGCCTTGGGAGGTAATATGATTTGAAGAATTTTTCATTTTTTAAAGCTGTCATGTAACAGTTGAGCTGCAAAGTTCGGTTAAGTGTCTCTGTTGTCGGCTATGACCTAATCTAGATGTATAGGTTAAACAAACGTAAATCCTATCATTTATCGAAACTGCTGGTGTGTAAGTTAACTACCCTCTGGATTCAGTGTTTACCATGTTTACCATTAGCAGCAGGGCTCGTCCTGCACTATCATTTGCATGCTAAAGGCACAAACGCAACGCTGTCAAACTAACACGTTTTATTTGTTCCGTATCTCCACAGGGTATTGCCAGACTAAACGCACGGAACAATGGTGAAGTATTTCTGCTGTGCAGGGTTGCTCAAAAGCACCTGGGACCAAGTTTGTGTTGCTTTCTGGCAACGATACCCCAACCCTTACAGGTGAGGGCGATGAGTGTACGTGGTGGTCTGGTCCAATCCTCCCCTCTGATCCATGCATGAACTTCTTAATCCGAATGGCATTGCAAATAGTTTGTGGATTATGTCTCAACATTTGAATGCAAAGAAGATTATACAGTGGTGGAAAGTAATTTAAGGGTATTTACTCAAGCAGTGTTCTCTGATATAGTTTTGAGGTAAATTAAGAATGGTACTTTTTACTCCACAACATTTATTAACAGCTAGTTCTGCTCAAGCTTATGATTTTACATACTAAACATATGGTTAGCTGATAGCATATGAAACCAATAGTACAACACTCTGAAAGGGGGGCATCGGTCCCCTAATAAGTAATTTTACATTTAATACTTTAAGTAAATTTTAATGCACTTTTGTATGAATGCAGGACTTGATATTGACTATGATAGTAAATAAATATCTTTAGGTTTTGGAATGTTGGTCAGACAAAACAAGCAACTTGAATGAGTCAACTTTGGCTATGGGACTTTGTGATGAGCATTCTTCACTGTTTATGATATAGAAAGTAAAGTAAAGTAAATCTCCAACAAGTTTGGTAATCGATTGCTCGTTCTAAAGTCTGATATCAAGCTAAAGTGCCAAACAGTTGCTTGCTCTGTTTTTAATATGTGAATGTGTTGCTTTTCTTTATGTCATTGTAAGTTCAAAACAGTCAATTTGAAGATGTCACTTACAGCTTTGGGTATGTGTAATGGGCATTTCTTCCCCATTTTCTAACATGGTATAGACTTACTGATATTAAATATGAAGAAAATAATTGACAGAAGTATTTATAATAAAAAAAAATAATGATAAGTTGCAGCCCTACGCAGAGGTTTTGTTTTGTCTTGATCCACTGCTTCTCCCTCTTTCCTGCAGTAACCATGTTTTGACTGAGGACATCATTTTCCGAGAGGTTACCCCAACTAACTGCCTCATTTCCAGACGTCTGTTGACCAAAACTAGCCGAGCTCCACGCTGGATGGAGCGGTACCTTCCAAAGCACATGGCCAGCTCGGCATACGTCATTGAGGACTCTATTGTGGACCCTCAGAAAAGGACCATGACCACATTCACATGGAACATCAGCCACGCTCGCCTCATGGTACCACCATGTTTGTCTCCACAGGCACTCAGCATTGCCCAGTAATTACTAGTAATAACAGTAACAAGTAATAATGACATGGCCTCATGTCGCTTTTGTTTGTTTTCTTTCCTCTCTTTTCCTTTCTTCCCCAGTCCGTGGAAGAACGGTGCGAGTACCGGATTAACGCTGAGAATGGCAGCTGGACAGAGATAAAAAGAGAAGCTTGGATCTCTTCCAATGTCTACGGGCTCACTAGAGCTATTCAGGTCAGTAGAGTAAAGTGGAGCACCACATTACATAACAGTCCAGGGGAAAGTGGTGTGGGGTGTCCGAAAGGGAGATTCACCCACCTACCTTTCATTCTGTAGTTAGTAACAACATATGCAGTGTTAAGATGCAACAGCTGAGTAGGTGAAGCTGTCTGCCAAGACTTAGGCTGCTGAATGATTTATTGCGAAATCTGAGTGGTCTTTTGTTCCTCAGCTGTGAGAACGTATGTTACTATATGTGATTATATGACTTCTACAGTAGGTTGTTGACAGTATTCTCTGAAGTGTTTTATTTTCTGTCTTGGCTGACTTCCTGTATTCTTGTTCCAGGAATTTGGTCTTGCAAGGTTCAAGACCAGTGTTACGAAGACCATGAAGGGCTTTGAATATGTGCTGTCCAAAATGCAAGGTAAGTAATGTAGCAATAATGACAGCATCAATAATTATTGCATTGCAGTAATTGCTGAAACCAAGGCGTCGTTGATCCTTTTTATCTGTAACGTCTGTGCTTTTCTTGGTATGACAAGTCAAAATATCTGCTATGAAAAAGGAACCATAAAGATGCTCTGATGCTAGCTATGCTGATATGGTTCAGATATAAAGTACAAGACGGACAGATTTTTAACAGGGAACAAAGGAAGAACTGGGTGATGCTGATTGAGCAAGCACACCAGTCAAAACCAAAATATAATGTCAGTATAACAGGAGAGCCTTTTTTGTCTTTTGTGTGTAAAAGCTCTGGTGATCTGTAAACTTTTTTAACAGCTTTAAAAGGGGGGTATGACAGAAAAGGGTTGGGAGCTACTACTTAGAAGACAGGTTATTAATTTAGAAACATTTGAGAATCTAAAGCTATTATCTTAACTGTATAATTTGTGTCCAAAAAGTATTTTCAGTTCAGTACAAACAAAAGAAAGTACATAAGCAAAATATAATTGTTTGGTATTTTTAAACCCCTGTCACTGACACACCAACAAGCTGAAGGTTGGTTCAAATGAGTAATTAAAATGTTGGCAAGTGTCTGTTGGTTTCAGAATTCAGAACTATAAAAGGACGGCGTAGGTTTTTTCGAACTGTAAATATTTCAGCCCATATTAAAACCAATGTGTTGTGACCTTTTGTAGGTGAAACCCCATCGAGAACCTTAGCAGAAACTGCTACAGAGCGAGCAAGAGAGACAGCGCTGGCAGCTAAGGAGAAAGCCAAAGACCTCGCCTCACATGCCCAGAAGAAACAATATGTGTGATGAGCTACATAGATCACTGGTTCTTTTTCCACTGATACTGGGACAGGTTTATCTTTACCCCCACCTCCCACTCTTTTTAATGGTTCAATTGGGGTAAGACAAACAGATCCCGGTCATGGGTAGACACCTCTGTGAGGAAGCATCCAACTGAAATGGTGGGTGGACCATAAAAGGCCTGAGCTGGGTTCAAGAGTCTGTTCCAGCTTCCCGGTTTGTGCCCCGCTGACTATATCATACCTTTGATACTTGATAATCTTAGCATTCACCAGAGATCTTGGAAAGGAATGGTTCAATGCGGCTCTGGGTGTGCCATAAAATAATAATAGCACTTTGCCTACCTTGATACTATTCCTCAGACCTTTGCTCAACCTCTGTACCTTTCAGCGTTTGCTTTTTACATTGTTCCTTTTAAGTATTTCATATTTGTAATAGATTTGTGTTATTAACAGCTTCTTATCCAGAAGCAAAAATTAGCACACCACGAAATATCTGATTAATGCAAATTCACGTGTATGATTTACTTTACTTGCATTTTTCGTTGTAGTTATGTCATCTTTTAGTTCAGTTCACCCGACCACACCTTAATCATCCAACTAAGATTAATTGCTTCAAGTTGAAGTTCATTGACTGAAGAATTGTCCATATTGTTGGCAGTCATAGCTTGATAAGAAATATACATTTAGCACTCTTGATATTGTGTTAAGATCTGGTTGCAAATGCTTGTTAAAAGGCAAAAATGAAACCTTGTACTGTACATTCAGCTTAGGTCTGACAACACAACCCATGCAACTGTGTGCTCTTACTGTATCAAATATCAGCTTGTCAATAAAATTCATTTCTTTGAAACCGTCATGCTGTGATGTCTTTGAACAATAAGTGGTTATCTCTGATAGTTCAGAGAGCTGGTTCCCAGCTGGGGCCACAGGACACCATCAAGGGGTCGCTAAATGACCGTAATCCTTGCTTTTTTTTCTTGCCAATTACTACATAACCTGTAAAGTATTAATGTAGAAGGAGAATAGAAGGGAATCCTTTGGTTGTACAAGTCCCAGTGGTAAACGGGTCACAAGCAAAAAAAAAGATTGGGAACTGTTGTTAATCAGTAGTTCCAGTAAAATCATCAAAAGCTGCACATAAATATAGAAAATATTTATTCAATAAAAAGCTTAAACCAGTACAAAAATGCTACATAATATGACTGGGTGGAGAGACAGATTAATGCATACATAATATTAAAAGGTCATAAGGCAACTTGCATATACAAGGGAAAAAGCACCTTCAGTTATTAAATGTATAACAATGAATACGATACATACTTAATAAGTATCATTACAAGTAGAAACTGCCTGCCTCACTGGTGAATTTGTTGCATGAATAATTATCATTTATATCAACAAATGCACAAGCACTGAAGTGTACAGTCGTGATTAAGCACACTAAGAAATTAGTTATTATGAGGCGTGAATTAAAGTGTAAATGTCATCGGACCTCTTTCCTTATGCTCTCACAGTCGGACTTTAACACAGGCGTTATGATTCTTGCACTTGATCACAGACCGAATTGTGTAAAAATACACCGACCACACAGTTACTTCATTGCCAGATATGAATGTGCAAACATGACCAGTTCATTCCTGTTGACTGTTTTCATTTTGATGTACCCACAATCTTTTTTTTTGAGATAAAACAAGTGCAACGCGTGGACGTTTTGTGCAACAGAAGAAAAAGAACAAAATACATGACGTACATAATAGGACAATACAAAACAAAGCACAGATTAATGTTGAAGTGCATGCTACATGTGACATCACGGAAATACGAATTTAGTGCTAAAGAAAAGCTGAATGGAATACTACACCAAAACCGACTTAAGGCAGACTTCAGTATTGGCATACTGAAGTACAAAATAAGTTAAAGAGTTTTGAATAAAAAGCCCTTATTTGGATTTTTAAAAGCCCTTAAAGATGAATAAATAGGACTTTTTGAATCTCACTTCATGGCTTTGGAAAGAAATGCCATTAATGGTTGACAAAAAATAAAATAAAAATAAATGTTACATCCATCCCAGCACAGTGATTTTAACTGCTATTCAGTGCAAATGGACACAGCTCATTCATAACATTATCATTTAGCTTGTAGTCTGACATATGTTGAGAAGAGAATGTCAAGTTACTCCTGTAAAAAAAAAAAAAAAAAAAAGTATGTTCAGTTGTACAGTAACGTCTTTCTCCCTCTCCCTCCCGTTTGCTTGTTTTTGGAATGTTTTCTCCTCTTCCTGTCCTCTTCCTAGTAACATTACAATGAATGACGGTAGGGATTTTCTTCTGCCGCTGTCATAGCCAGGCTTTGTCCATGCTGGAGTAACAGTGGTCTGCGCCAGCTTGTGTTATGCTCAGTCCGTCAGAGTCCACGCAGTCAAACACGATGCTCTCCACGTCAACCTCCACATCCTCTGCAAGGTAACCAACCAAAGATCAAATCCATTAGCAGAACAAAATATGAGAAAATTCACTCGTTTGTAATATGATATGAACAAGAACATATTTCCTCATAATATTTCTCAGTATGGCAAATGTATGATGTGCGTTCCACTATTATGCATGACAAACTGCAACAGCTACTCAAAAAATATCAAGAAACATTGGTAAAATGTAGACATCATAAATTCCTATAATGAGTAGACTACACTAACGTATGATTAACAAACGACTAAAATCAGTAGGGGTCTTTTTTCCCCATAGCCTCTGCTGGGACTTCTGGTTCACACTAAGACCATAATTGGGAAGGTTTGAATGTGACAGGATCAAAAAATATGAGGTTGTGCTTACTGAAGCAAAAGCTGAGATCATACTTTTAGCAGTAAAGCAAGGCCAGGCATGTACTGTGACTGTGCCGAGATGAGACCCTTTTCCTCTTGCACACCCCCGAGAGACCTACCTCTGTCAGAGTCTGAGCGCTCGGAGGACATGGTCGACCCCTGACTGTCGTTCCTCATCCTCTCCGTGCCTCTCTGCAGCTGCTCCAGCCGAATCTGCAGCTCTCTCTGCTCCCAGCGCAGGCGGCCCTTCAGCTGCTCCGCACGCTCATCTTGCTCCTGCAGCTTCTGTAGTGAGAAAGCAGAGAGACAGACAAGAGAGCAGTGGATTAAAAAAGTGGACAAATGCACAATAACTGGACAGAAACACAGCATATTATTTAAGAGTAGAAGATGCTGTAGTAGAAGAACCTAGTTGTGGGAGAAGTATTCAGATTGTTCACTTAAGTAAAGGTACTAATACCACACTGTAAAAATCTGTTTACGAAATCTGTCTGCATTGAAAATGTTAGAAACGTAATCTGAGAAATGTACTAAATGTAGTATTTAAAGCAAATAGTACTAAATGCAGAAAAATGTCCCCTGTGACTGCTATACTATCATATGTTCTATGATGAGATTATTAGTACTCATGCATTCGCGTAAAAGCAGGATTTTAGTTGAGGTTGGTTGAGGTGGAGCTCATTTTGAACTGCTCATGAACTTTTCATCTGCTGATTATTTTCTCTATTAATTATTATATATTGTATATAATATTATATATAGTTTGTAAAAATTCTGAAAATAGTGAGAAATGCCGTCAACATTACCTAGAATGACACCTTCATAATGCTTGTTTTGTCCGAACAGTCCAAACCTCAACATTTTTAACACTATATTCAAATTATTAACTATAACTATAATTTATTGCCATGTTGTTTTTACACATACAAGGAATTTGTATTGGCGAGTAGGTATGCCACAACAATATACATAAACCTATATAAATGTAAAGATATCTTAAAAAATATGAGATTGATAGAATAAATAAAAGCATCAAGAATGAAAAATGACTTAAATTTAAAATGGTTTAATAGTAAAATTAATTTTTGGTCAACCTAATCTTTTTCAGCTCTATTTGGTTAGTTTAATTTACAACATAACATCACATTTTATAAACTCTTCATATGTTTTGTGTGTAAAAAGTTTAATTTGTGAAGTAAATACTAAAGCTGTGAGATAAATGTTGTGCAGTAAAAAGTCCAATATTTCCCTTTGAGATGTAACACATGTGGAGTAGAAGTAGAAAGTGGCATGAAAACATAATACTCAAGTAATTTCAGGAGGGTACCTCAAATTTGTACTTAGGTATAGTAGGCTACTTGAGTAAATGTACTAAGTTACTGTCCACCACTGATTTACTCTCCCAGCAACAGGTGTTTTATTAGTAGGATGCCAGGGCATGGTGTCTACCTTTATGTGAAGCTGGGCTCTCCTCAGCAGGTTGAGGGTGGTGTTCCTCATCGAGTCAGAGGACAGAGGGACCTGCCTCTTGAGCTGCTCCAGGCAGTGCCGCAGCTGAGCTCGTCTATGGAGCAAGAAGAACCAACAACTGATGCTGTTAATCCATGCATGTGAAAACAACAGGGTGTTGAGCACTGTTGCTTACTCTTAACTAAATTTAGGTTTTTTTAAAAAGAGGAAAAAGGTGTCTTTTGCCAATTGTCTATTATTTATCGGTTATTATGACAAAATGTGAATTACCTGTTTTTTTCCAGCTCGTTGTGAACTGACCTGCAGACAAGGAAATAGGCCGTTTGATTAGCTCTTATGACTGCTTGGGAATGACAAGTGTGTGAGGTATTCGTGTCTAAAATGGATCTTTATCAAAACTGAAAGTCAAACTTAACAACCACACCCTCTTGTCAGTTGTCTGTTATGTAATGTAACTCACCTATTGCCACCAGCAGATATCTTCTTACTCTTCTGTTTGCTTCTCTTATCAGAGAGACCTGGGCTGAGAGGCAGGAGTGAAGCGTATCCATGTTCTGCCTCTGTGCGAGAGAAAAAAACAATACAGCTGTTTTCCTAAATAGTCTGAAATCCAGCGGTATGCAATGTAAAATACAACGTGTTCCCATGGTTAGGGTTAGTGAACCCTAGTGCTACAAATACAGCTCGTTTACCATTTCTTCCTAAGCTGTGAGATGAAGACGACAAAAAAAACTGCTGTCACCAGCATCATCAGCTGGACGTTTTGTTTTTGGTTTTGGCGCCATCACACACTGTCTATTCACTATTATAAAACTACTCTCTCTAGCCTCGCAAATAGAAACGCACAATACAATCTCTACAGTGTGGAAACTCCGACAGAAAGTTATATTATAGCTTTTTCCAGCCCCACTTTCATAAACCGTAATGAGCGCCCAGAGCCGCTCAGATTCATTTTCAAATCGGACCAGATTGGCGCCTTTGAGTACAATGATGGGACCGATATGTAGGTCACTGAGTCAAATGAGAAACATCGCCTAAAAAAACATTCTAGCAAGAATCTCGATGGTTCCTCGAACACTTGCACTGCATTATGTCTGCGCATTATGTTATGCGCTCAAAGTTACTGTCGCTTCATTGTGTATTTTGTTTTTTTGAAAGAACCAACTTCCTCCCCTGTTGACTGACAGTTGTCATAAAACACTTACCTCGCTCTCTTCTCTCCAGAAACTCGGCAGCACGAAGAAGCACCTGGATGTTGCAAACGTTTCCGTCCATTATTTTGTTTGTTGAAATAAAACAACCTCGGGTGAACACCCTACTGTGGATAAAGCGTCAGCAGACAGGAGTAGATGAAGCTGTGTCTGTGCTGCACGTCCTCAATCCACAGGACCTCGAACACTGACACTGCATTCACGTGCTCGGCGTGAGCTCGGACAGTTGAAACTCAACTCATGAAAATGATACGGCGGGCAACAGGTTTGTCGGATATATTAACAAAAAGGACCATCCGAAGTATTGGCCTATGTTGGTTTATTTTAATTTTTAAAAGGAGTAACGTTACATATACGGGTGACATATAAAAACAACAATACTTTTACTTGTTTTACCCCCACAATTTTAGACAGTTTCAAGGTGCAAGTTACAAAGTCGTTTATTTATACAACACAAGTTTATATAATGAAAAGAAAGTGTGTAGTCCCTCTATGCTACACACACAGAACTTAACAGATAATAAAATATATATTAAAATGTGTTGGGGTGCAAAATAATTCTGGCACACATTGCAATAGCCTACTACTGTTTGTGTAAGATGCCTAAATTCTAATAATAATATAGTCAGAAACTATCTATTTTTACTAAACATAGTGTAATAAACACTATTATGTCAAATAAATGTTTACTTTCCCTCTTGTGTTATAATTGGGCCCATCGTTGTGTTTGCATTTAGTTTGCGATTACATAATATTTACGAGAGCATTTGAAGGCATCCACATAAAACGTCATTATCAAGCCCGTCCCCTCCCCTTTCACAGCACCTTTATGTTTCAAACATTTATTATTTTGTTTAACAACGACAACAATATCATTTTGGCATGCACTTATGCATATTGCCCCTTTTTATATATGAAAAGCTAAAACTAAACAGCTGGTCGTCTGTGAGCTAGTTTTACAAAGTTGCACTGTTATATATGTTATTGACCTTATACTTAAATGTTCTACCTTACTCAGCCCAACTATCGAAAACAGCAACATACATCTTTACCTAAACTCCAGCCAGCATCATCATCTACTTTCTATAATAATATATATATATATATATATATATATTTTTTTTTTACATACTGTATGACAACTTATTTAGCGAGCGCACAATTAAATGCTGAATTAATATACTCAAACACTGAAACAAACGTTTGAATAGCAAGAGTAAGCAGGAGGACCTGTTTAATTGTCTTTGTCAGTGCTAAAGAATAATAAAATAGAAGAAAGTGGGAGGAGAGGATTGCCCTTACTAAATATGGCAACGTCTGGCTTCACTGCCTGTGTCAGGTTTCAGTTGTATTCAGCGTATTGGAGTGAAGCTTCTTTGCCAGCTGTATCTTTAACCTATGAACTCCTGAGTGTGCCAGTCCTCCGCCATATTGACTGTTGTCTTGAGTGGAGGAGATAGAGAACATTTTGAGGTCCGATAAGAAACGAAAGTGTGCTCTCAAAATAATCAAAACTGGTGCAAACTTGGCAAAAGCGTATTTTAAACACCGTCGTGATGGCAAGGAAGAAAAGCAAGCAGCAAGGAGTCGCCCAGAAGGAGCTTGTGCCTGAACAGCAGACCGCACCGAAGATCCCAGTCTCTCCCGGCGATGCAGCTGGCGGTGACGGCGGAGATGCTGGGCTGGATAGGCTGGCCACTACCAGGGCGAACCAGGTAGGTTAGCTAGCAACAAGCCAATCCCTGCTTTTAAAATAGGCTAGCTAGCCTCTGAGCTAGCACTAATTTAAGCATCCTCCATTGTGTTTTTATTTTATGTAGCTAACGTTAGATCCTGCAGGGTTGAAGTTATATGCATCCGCTGGGTGGCTAAAAGCAATGTTAATCTTTATGTAGTAGTCGTGGATGTAGAGCTCTCACGTCGTTCGATATTTAATTAAATAAATAATACGCTCAACTTAGCGAGCAGAATCGTACCCAGCAGGCGGATTTAAGGCAATGTGTCTAACATTGCAGCCCATCTTCTTTTGCCGGACAGGTGACATTGTGCCTCGGAAATGTCGTCCCATTCCCAGCGTTTACAACTATTCATCCGCCCAGATAACGTTAACCTTAGCCAAAAGGCTAGCCGGGCTATCGTCTCCAGCTAGCGTGCTGCAAACGTGCTTACTGCCTGCACTTGAACCCAGCTACAGGAACCACTCAGCCAGCAGCGGCTAACCAGCTACAGGCTAATTAGCTAGTAAACTGGGAGAGATAATGGGTTCATAATTAGGGTAGCTAACTGTCAGACATGGTTCGAGATGTTTAATCGACTCTGTCATAAGGTTTTTGCCGTACTACACTTTAATATCGGAGTGTGACAGGAGCTAATGTCAGAAGTTTCAGTGCATGCAGTTATCAGCCAGTGATGCTAAATCGGAGTTTGTAACGTTAGCTATCAAAGTTGAGGGTAACCCTTTGTACAGCTGGACCACAGTCGCCTCAGCAAACCAGCTAACCTTACATCTGACCTCTGAGCCTTACTGCTGCTTGGATTTAGTTATGTTTTATACCGCATGTGTACGATTCCCGTCTAGACACGTCGCATAGCTAGATCTGTATATTGGCTCAAATTTGTCTGTAATTGTGAATTACCTGTTTGTGTCTTAGGTGTAATATCACTATATCAAAAAATGATGCGATGTCCAGAAAATACTGGGGGACATCTAACTATGAATGCCAGTTTATTTGGTACATAAAAAATGAATACCATGTAACTGACCTGCAGTAAAGCCGCCATTGAGAAGCTTATTAAACCATATTTGTTGAAACTGTTTTTGGAGAGGTGTTGATTCAACTCTTTAACTGGGGATGTTTTGCATCACTTTTGTCTTAGACTGCATTTGTTTTAAACTGGGTGTACCTAATAAACTGACAACTGAGTGCATATGCACACACACATAATTATTAGCATTAAAAAACATCAGTTTAATCCCTTATCATGTGCAGTAGACATTGTCAATACTGTAGAATCTATTCTGAGAGACCTCTAACCTAGAAGACTCTTTTCCACCCCTGGTGTTAATTAACCAACAGCATTATGCACCCCAGTTCACAGTTTGACTGGTAATTACAGGCTAATACTTGACCTCTTTATGCTCTCTTTCTCTACCTAGCCTATGCACACCTGCTGCCTCCTGTGCCATCGTGAATTTAAAGACTGGGGAGCAAGTTCTGCAAACGGACTTCCTGGGAGCCATGGGACCAAGCTGGCTGATGCGGTGCCTGCACTCTCCCAGGCCTTATTGCGGGAGGCGCCGGGGCGTAAGCTTGCTGATGCTGTGCCCTCGCTGTCTCAGTCCTTGCTGGGAGAGGTGCCTCTGTGGATCTGTCAGAGCTGCTGCAAGAGTGTGGAAGAGGAGGAGAGGCGGAGCACCCTGGAGCAGCCGACGCCGGTAAATAAAAAGGAACTGATTTGGGTTACGTGTCTGGAACCTTTTTACGACTACTTTCTAGTTAAACTGTTTCTGCTGACTGAGGTGATCTCAGCTTTATTCATCAGAGAGGACTTTGCATTTGCATGTGCATACTTACTAAATAAATATGTCTATCTTGATGGATTGAACAGGTTTAAACATGTAGTCTACTTTGAGTCTCTTCAGAAATAACAAATTTTGTATTTCTGTCTCTGTGGCATATGTAAGGCAGCAGCAGCTTTAGCCTTCGCCTTCTTGCTTGTTTTTACATAAAATGCAAATTTTTAAGATGTAGTATATTAACATACTTGAGCTTGACTGCACATGAACATGGTGTAAAAGATGTTTTGTTAATATTTGGCTCAAACTTTCAAATGTTAAAAATAGGACAAACGGAGAGAGATGGCTGAACAGTCCCCTGCAGTGATTTTTTTGTTTGTTTTAATCTTTGCATTTTTTTTCTTTCCTTTTTTGTTTGTTTAGATTGATTAATGCATTTTAAAGATGTTTGTGCTCTTGTCACACACATTAATGTTTTACAAGCTAATATTGTTATTTGGTGCCACTGTTGCCAAAATGTACCCCTATGTAGACAGCCCTGTGATTAACCTGTTGGGTTTCTTGTTGTTGTTTTTTTGTTTTTTTTTTATTCAGGTACCATTGTCACACTCTTCCTCTTGTAAGTCCCAGAGCTGTGGGAATGGTTACCCAGAGCAAAGTACTGTGGATTGGGACCCGAGTTCCTTCCTGTCAGCCCACAAACTGTCAGGTCTCTGGAACTCTGCCCACACCAATGGAGGGGAACATTGCAACCACAACACTTCTTCACACTCACAACCAGGTCTGTCATCGCTTAATTTCTAAACTGAGAAGTGTTACGAGTTTCAGTTTTGTGAAATGGATGTATATTTGGTTAGAATCAGAGCTCCACAGCTGCCTTGTTAGCTTACTTGCTCAGCTATAAATGTGTAATACATTTCTGGCCACTTTCTTCAGGTGTTAGTCGACTGCATTTTAGAGGAACAAAGACGCAGCTTGCAGTGCTCTACTTTCCGAAGCCCTTAGAGCTCAGCATGATGAAAGGTGGAATAATGTTTTAAGATAAGTGTGTTGTCAAAACTAGCAAGTGCACTCAGATGGCGGACATAAATTTAAAAATAACCAAATTTCCAATGCGGACAACTTAAGTAAATCAGACAATACGACTTGGCTCACCGTTTATAAAAGATCAGGAAGAAAACGTTTCTTTGTAATACTTTTCTTTAATTTTATTGGAGAACACTGTTTTGCTTAGAAATATAAATCTCTGCAAGCTGTGCTGTAACCAGAATCAAATATCAGCGCCAATGGAAAGATTACAGCAAAGAAAACCTAAATTTATTTCATCATACTAAATAATTCTACCAAAATTTGGACTATTCCGAATCGATTCACAAATGCCTATAATCGATTATCTAGAGGTTAATTGATAACGTAATGTTGGCGGAACTCTGAAATGCGGAAGTGTCCGTCTGTGCGGTCAGGACTTGCGGACTGTGATTCTTACTGCTGAATCATTGATAGCTGCAAAGCATGTAGGCCTGACTGTGAAAGTATCAGGCATATTTGTCTTATTATTATAATTATACAAATATAATTATTAATATTATCATATGTAGCCTTTTTACTACAGTTACGCTTCACACAACAGCTGTTTGTTTTGTAAAGTTGCGTGGCGCTGCT